GAACAGATAATCTGGTAAGTATTTATTGAGCCTCTGTATTCAGTCTCTGCTCTTTCTTTTTAAAACAAACTTCAGTGGTAGCAGGGGAGGGTAAAAGTAGAGTTGGAAAGAGACTGATGGAGGCAACCAAATGGAAGTTGGTCAAGGAAACATTCCCAGAAATGAGATCAGTATTCTGATGACTGATGTGCTGCAGTGGTTGGATATGTTTGATGCCTTTATGCATAGAAATTATGCACACACAGACACAGATACACATACACACAGTTACTGTGGGATTGAATTTCGGAATGGAGCTATTTTTCTTACGTATTTATACATTTCAGAAAAAATTAAGAGCAACAGTTTCCTTATAGGTTTGCCTCAATTGCCTTCCATATTTTGGGTGTGGGGGCAGTTCTTGAAATATATACACATTTTCTTCTATATTAAGATATAATTTATTGTTTAGTCCAACTCCCAGAACAGGGATCCCTTCTGTAAAATTTCTGGCAGAGAGTTGTGGATTCTATTTGGACTCTTCTGGTTGGTAGTATATAGGATCTAAAGGTATTTTCCTCCTCGGATGATTTCCTCTGTTCTTCAAAAGAACTCTTCATTTTTTATTTTTTCCAAACTCCTATTTCTTCTGCCTTTGCACTTTCCTTCTGCAACACTCATAATTCATGAGCGCCTTCAAGTAGGACTGGAAACAGAACCCTTTCCTGAGAGTGCCTGCCTCCTCAGTTTTAGGTTGAGCTTTAGTTTTCTTGTTTCTACCATCCCCAATGTCTGTCTGTTTCTTTCTCTCTCTCATGTGAACACACACATACACAGACTCCACCAGCAAAAACAATTTCCTGAGGGCCCTTCTGTGTGCCTTCAAGCTTGCTCCCATTAAGGTCACTTTTGGCAGAGATAGCATCTGACCTTTGCTGCTGCTGCTGCTGCTTTTTTTTTTTTGTATTTCAGAGTATTGTGAGGGTACAAACATTATGGTTACACTTTATGTCTTTGCCTCACCCAAGGGAGGGTTAGAGGCATGCCCTTCCCCCCTACAGTGTTCCCCATGTCCTTTAGTTGTGGGTTTACCCCTCCCCCCCTGCATCCCCCTAATCCCTGGAGAGTATTACTGCCGTGTGAGCACCCTGGTGTTCATCAGTTAGTACCAATTTGATGGCGAGTACAAGTGAAGTGCATTCTTCCGATTTTGTGGTACCTCACTTTGGATAATGGGCTTAAGTTCAATCCAGGAAAGTATAAGAGGTGCTAGATCATTGTCGTTTCTTATGATTGAGTAATATTCCATT